TGTGCTGAGTATCACTGTAAGCCATCCAGTTTTTGCCACTGTTGCCCAGGCCACCTAAACATTGAACTTTATGATTCTTTTCCAGGAGAGCATGCTGATTTCAAACTATTGCACTCAGAAGAATGGTGGGTCCCGCATTAGAAATTTATTTAGTTGAAAGAGTCTGTGATTTCAAATTTGCTGACAGAGCCTTTATGAAAGATAACTCTCCTTTTATGCCTCTCATTAATCAGAAATGAGAATGTCAAATGAGGCCAGTTTGTTATTGGGCTTAATGAGAAGTCAATAGTATAGGAGTCTTTAAAATGGTACATAGAGAACCATTGAAGGTTATTGATCAAAGCAAGAAAATGTAGAATCTATCAGGCAATGCTGTGTGCAGTGGGTAAAGGGTTAAGAGAGGAGAGAAGTCCTTCAAAGAGACAGTGGGGATCTGCACAGGGTGGTGGAGGTAAAAATATATGAGCATTTGATGAGTGTATAAACTGAGACAGAGTGGAGAAGTCTTATATGTCAGAAAAAATAAACACAATACTAAGTCATTTAGTGTGTTGACCAGGGAGGAGGGGTGTATGCTAGTTACATGTTCTTGAGGACAGAATAGAAAAAGGCAACCCCCACTGGGGCTTTGTCATCAATGCAACTGCACCTTCCAACTGCACAGCCCTCTCAGAGAAAAAGCCAGAGGAGGGCACAGTAGAGCCATATATATTTTATTCCATTCCTTTCCAGTTGTATGGGAATCTATCTAAGAAGTTAAGGAAGGGAAACAAATCTCTAGAATTCTGTTGCTTTGGTAATTATTACTGTTCATCTTTTTTTTTTTTTAAACTTTCTAATTGGTAGAAAACACTTAGGTGGCTTGTGATTTCTATTCCCACTGCTCCATTGAATGCTGTTCTTTCTTTTAGGTTTTGGTGGCCTGTATTAGTTACTCTAATGTCACTTAGCTCAAAAGCAAAGGCCCCGTCATTCTTGCCCTGACATTCTTGCCATAACTCAGCCAGAGTCATAGTATTCTCAACAAATATCAAATGAACCACCATTAACGAAAAGCTCTATGCATTTCCAGCTGTTTTAGTTAATGGACTGAAATGTGCATGATTTAAATAGCAACTTGACAAGCTGTATACCTCTTTTGAGTTTACCTGTGACAGGAAATTTTGAAAACTTACTTTATTCCCTTGCATATGAAATTGATATTTTTGAAGATAGGATGCTCTCAAGCATTTGCTTACAAATGACCCAATATTAACCAGCCTTCAAAGATCCATTCTAACAATTACATTCAAACTAACTTTATGAATTCTAGTATTATAACTAAAAGAGAGAAGGATAAATACTGATTAGTCAAGAGAACTGTTATTTCTTTGGGTAGGTGATATTGAACCTATTGCATCCATTTATATAATTATTTTTTTTGTAGAGACTAAATTTGAAATAATACTTTTAAATTTTCAGTCACTTGATTGAGCAAAGCAGATACACTTTTAGAAATTATTTCACAGCGACGTTAATCTTTATAAAGATTTAAACTAGTTAGAGGAAAAGTTTTACGATAGTGCCTTCTCAGCTTGGTGGCTGTGAGCAGCCCTTGGGTTTTCAAAAGAGAGACCTGAGGTCTTACTGGAAGAATAGAGTTGAAGGGACCAAGGCTTGGATGAGCCTTGTACACACAGTACTCACGTTAAATCACAATGCTGTCAGTGCAGTTTTAAATGATGTATGAAGTTTTTCACCATCTACAAAGCTCATGAATGAGGATTATAAACTGATGTGACCAGAAATGAGAGGAATTAAAAACCCTCAGTCTCTACTTGCATATCCACCTAAAAAGTATATCATTTAGTCCCTTGAAGCTTTAAAGCAGGTGCACTCCTTTCTTGTTGGTTTATGTTCACTTGGACACACTGAAAAATCTCTTAAAGTGATTACTCCCCTGATGATCTTTCTAGATGTTCCAGACACCCTTTTGCTCTTAGAATATTGGTCAAATTTAAGAAGCCTTAATCCTGCAGAACCTTCTGGAGAGTTGAGCTATATTTTCCCTGCTGTGACCTCATGTAACCTTTGAATTCTCACATTCTTTGCTTTTTTATGAATTTGGTGTTCCGTGAGGCATCCATCAGCAACACTCTTTATGCTCTCAAGTGCTATCCTGTTTCGTTGTGTACTTTTCTTTGCCTGTGACCCAGAGGGGGCAGAATTTTAAAAATGGTACATCTGTTGTTCTTCTATTTTTAAAAATTCATGATCACCACTCTCATCGTGATTCATCCTATATTAATGTATACATCTCACTACTTTTGATTTGGTTTTAAAATTATTTCTATTTTGATTTCCATTATGATTCTTCATTTCCTCTTCCTGTCACTATCAACACTGTAGGAATGAGGCTGATAATCTACACACACAGAACTAAGTTTAAATAGGTCACCCAGGCAGTGTAACATCAATAAGCCAATGGGAGGAGTCAGTTGCCCTCTGTGACATCCAGCGACCAGCTCTTGATGGTGGGCAGAGTTGATCAGCTTTGACTCTGGAGCATAGGTTGGTTTAGATTTATGCTTGTTTGAGAATTGAAAGCTCTCCTGTGATTCTCAAGCTAGTTTCCAGTTAATGTTCCTTGCTAGACAGCAGTTTCAGTGAGGAATTTATAAATTACTTTAGCTTGCTGCAGATAATATGCCCCAAAATGGCTCTGTCACCTTCTTTCTTGTTCTTCAACTAATATTCCTTTCTGAATTTATATTGATGGCAAATGAATTCTTTTATCCAGAGTCTTTCTCTCTTTCACCATCCTTTTATATATTTTTTGATTCCTCTCTTTGCAAACAAGGAGGTGTACATTTAAATCTTGAGTTATTCTCCTTCAGTTTTGTATTTTCTAGGGCATTACAACAGTACTTGCCAACATCTTTATCTGATTTTTCTATTGCCTTTTTAATTCTTTTTTTTTTTTTTTTGGCAATACTGGTGTAAAGAAAATAAGCATAGAGGTTTGCACCACCACTGAGTTGCATCCCCAGCCTTTTTTATTTTTTATTTTGAGATGGGGGCCTCCATAAGTTGCTTATGCATGCCTCAAACTTGTGATCTTCCTGCCTCAGCCTCCTGAGTGACTGGGATTACAGGCATGTGCCACCAGGCACAGCACCCCTCTCCCCTTTTTTTACTCTTATAAATTTACAAGTCCTTATTTTCAGACTTTGATTAACAGGAACTCATGATTAAGGAGAAACTATTCTGTAGATTTAATATATTACATTGACTGCTATAGCCCCTATGAATTCCTAATGTCAGAAAATTAGGATGGCTTATTTCTGATAGTTCCTGAATCTAAAGATAAAAAATGTAGGTTATATATCATCTAAGTATGTAGGAAAAGAATTTTAAAAACCATATGAGTACTTTTCACTCAAATTGTTTAAATTTCTAAGGAACACTTATTTATTACCTTCAGCATCTATATGGTTTACATTTTCCTGGCAATTTTAGTGAACTGGCTAAAAAGCCCCAGAGAATTTAGAACATGGGCTATTGAGAGAATTTTTTTTCTTCTCAGTAATATTCATGCATTTGACCTTCGTCTGACAAAGGTATTTATCATTGACCCTTCCAAGCCATTCATTAGTATGTGTGAACTTTGTTCAGCTGCTTCTTATAAACTGAGGCATGCTGGATTGCTTGAGGGTGATAAGCTGAGTAAACACTTCTAAAAATGTTGATGATAACTGAAGGGCTTATGTATGGCAGAATGCTGCTACCGCTAAGACAGAACAGACAAACTACAAATCACAGCTAATATATGCTCCAAGCTTCCTTCCCTGACCTTTCAGGACTATTGTCATCTCCATCTTGGACACTGAGCATGCATATGTGTAAGAAAATAATGGAGATATGTTTTAGTACTTTGATTCAGAAGACCTGCAGTAGTGGCTTATGGCTTACACTGGGAGTCTACTGGCATTTATTACCCAAACTTGTGAAGACAGTAATGTCTGTTTTCAAATAGTTATATTTTTACCAGTTCTTGTTTTTCATTTTAGTCCCAGGATAGCAAAAAATTATGCGGGAATTAAGTAAGAGAGCCTTTATCCAAACCCTGGTTTTGCAAATATTTATCTTTCAACCTTATATAAGTGTAGTATTCTCTCTATCTCCAATTTCTTCATCTGTAAAATAGAAGAAATATTACTATTTTCTCTCTTGCTCAAAAAAAATATATGGCATTAGTGAATTTTAACCTAGGAAAACATAGAAATTAAAAATTTGCTTTTTTTGATTGTTTTGTCAAAACCCCGTCTTTCTGTTGTCTGCCCTTATCCACTCCCAGCATAAGCCCAGACTGCTTAAGCCAAACTTCTGGCCAACCCAGAGACAGGGAACCCAATGGTGGAGTCTTTGCTACCTAAGTTGTGCCCTGCTGGACTGGCTCCTACCTGTCTGTAGTTGTCATACCTCAGTGATAATAAGTTTACTTCACTACCTCAGGCCAAGGGGAGCCGGCCTAAATATTCACCTTCATGGGTTCCAACTCCTGCCTGCCTTCTCTCACTGACTGTATGACTCATGTTCTCTGAGCCTCAGTTTTCTCACATAAAAGGTGAGGATGGTATTACTTCCTCAGAGTTTTATGTCTTGATTTCTCCAGGCAAGTGGTATCTGTGAAGGGCCAAAGTTCATCAATGGTATATATGGATATCCATGTTAATTAATGATATGTGTTATTTGGACATTTTACATCCCGTTGCACAAATTTCTAGGTAGAGAAGATATTACTAAATGTTTCTATGATAATTAAATTTACTTTCATAAAAGGGAAGTTTTGAGATTCTCCAAAGTGTGTAGCTTATAAAGATCATTGACTTTCTCCTTATTTATAATGAGGCAAATGATGCATGTCATGTATTTTGCTTTCCCTGAACTCACAGACTTTCTCCCTCTGCCTCCCCACCTATCTCTCTCTCTCTGTGTCTTTCTGCCGGTTTTGCTTTTAGCACAGACGGATATTGTTTCACAATGATAGAGGAAGACGACTCTGGGATGCCTGTGGTCACTTCTGGGTGCCTAGGACTAGAAGGTTCAGATTTTCAGTGTCGGGTAAGGAAGATAACCTGATTTCATTTGTAATTTTGCATTGACTGTATTTCTACCAAGATTCAAGTAAGACAAAATAGTATTTTTCATGGCTAGCCCATTTTTAGTAACCTAGAAAGTAATTAAAAATTCTCATTGGACCAATTCTCCTTTTTTTTTGAAATGCCCTTTTTAGTTTTGTTAACTTCTTGTTAGTGTGTCATTAGTTCATATTCTTCAAAATCCATTTTATCTAATTGCATTAAACCAATACTTTTTCCTCAGTTTATGGACACTGATTATTACAAATATAGTGGTAATTTGATTGAAATGCAGAAGTTGCAATAATATACAATAATTTGAAATGAATTATCTGATACAAACTAACATTTTCAAGATGTTTGTATAAAATTATTGGATGTTTAAATGAGTTCTCTTAGTAATCGTTTCTTATATTTTAGATGAACTGAGTTTGAAATTTAGAGGAGACTCAGTTAAAGCTGTTTGGGTTCAATTTTAGGACACTCCTATTCCTCATCAAAGAAGATCAATTGAATGCTGCACAGAAAGGAATGAATGTAATAAAGACCTCCACCCTACTTTGCCTCCACTGAAAAACAGAGGTAAGGCCAAGGTGACTTTCAGGCTGGCAAAGCTTGGGCACAGTAAAAATGAACATGGGAAGCATTTTTTCTTTTTCCAGCTCTTCTACCTGCAACATTTTCCAGAGCTGAAACGGAGGGCTGAGACAAGATAACATAATGAACCTGTCACTCAGAGAGGCATGCAGACAGTTCTGGGGACAGTAGTTGCCTGTGATTCCACTTTTAGGATGTGTGTTGCTTTAACTTCTCCCCACTTCCCTCCCAGAGTCGTAGTTCCTAGAGCTTGCAGGGTGTCTCAGGAGAGCAGAGGGAGATGGTACTTCATGCTTACCCACAAAAGGTATTCAGAAGTTGTATTTAACTTGAAAACTACCATTTGGCTTCCTTGATTTTAAAATAAAGACCTTATAAAAGACTAAATAAAAGATCACTTGCTATATGACATTTCATTTTATCAATGCTAGAGTAATTTTTAGTCATCATATATCAATAGACTGATAAAATAGGGATGATGTTTATAAGTTTTAACTTTAAAACTTATACATTTAAGTTTTGCTCATTGAAAAAAAAGATATTAAATCCCAAAAGACTTTGTATTAAAAACAACTCCCATGTTTCCTTTCTCCTCTTTGTTCTCACACAAATAAATTATTTGTATTGTTGTGGTCTTGATTCCTAAGTATTATATAAGTGGGTTCAAGGGATCCTTCATGGTGGATTTTCTTTCTTTCTCCTTTTTTTTTTTTTGTACTGGGGATTGAACTTAGGGAACACTTAACCACTGAGCCATACCCCCAGCCCTTTTTATTTTTTATTTTGAGACAGGGTCTCACTGAATTGCTGAGGACCTTGTTAAGTTGCTGAGACTGGCTTTGAACTTGTGATCCTCCTGCCTCAGAATCCCAAGTCACTGGGATTACAAGTGTGCTACATCAACCTGGCTGATTTTATTTCTTTTTTTTTTTATTGGTTGTTCAAAACATTACAAAGCTCATGATATATCATCTTTCATACATTTGACTCAATTGGGTTATGAACTCCCATTTTTACCCCAAATACAAATTGCAGAATCACATCGGTTACACACTCACATTTTTACATAATGGCATATTAGTGACTGTTGTATTCTGCTACTTTTCCTATCCCCTACTATCCACCATCCCCTCCCCTCCCATCTTCGCTCTCTACCTCATCTGCTGTTGTTCAATTCTCTCCCTTGTTCACCCCCCTTTCCCCTCACAACCTCTTATATGTAATTTTGTGTAACATTGAGGGTCTCCTACCATTTCCATATGCTTTCCCTTCTCTCTCCCTTTCTCTCCCCCCACTACACAATGGAGTATTACGCAGCACTAAAAAATGACAAAATCATAGAATTTGCAGGGAAATGGATGGCATTAGAGCAGATTATGCTAAGTGAAGCTAGCCAATCCTTAAAAAACAAATGCCAAATGTCTTCTTTGATATAAAGAGACCAACTAAGAACAGAACAGGGAGGAAGAGCATGAGGAAATGATTTTATTTCTTAAAAAGAAAAAGAATTCACATCAAAAATTCACAATTAAAAAAAAATTCAAGCAATAAGATATATAGAAATAGATAAAGACAATTTTTGCTTTCCAAACTATACTTTAGAATTTGAGAAAGAAAATGTAAATAATTGACTTAGGTTTGGTGAAAATATTTCAATAATAGAGTTAGACAATAAAGTATGTTAGTTACATAAAAAAGTGAGTGGCTAGCTCTGGGGTGGAAGGATATCAAAATAGCCTTGTAGAAGTGACGCTTTAATAAGACTTTACAGATGAACAAGAATTACCTAAGTGTGAGGAAGGATAGGCTACATGGGTGAAATTTAAAAACTAAAATGACTAATGTAAACAAAGCATTGTGCTGAGTATTATGTGAACTGACCCAATTTATACCTTACAGCAACTCTACGAAGTACTTAGGACTGATGGTCCCATTTTAAAGACGAGGAAATTGCAATATACAAAAAGGTTAACTTCATCAAATTTACACAGCCTGTGCGTGACACAATTTGCTTTGCTTATTTTTCACTGCAGCACCAGCAAAGCAAAATACCTTAGGATAATATTCTTTCTCAAGAATGAGGAAATATGAAAAATAATTAGATCAACTCCAACACCTTCATCAAAAACAAAATATGACTCAGAAGCCTAGTAACACTGCAGCTGGTGGTAAGAATAGAAATGAGAAGAAATGTCTGTTCTGAAGTGAAGGAGGATGTGAAGAAGTCCCTCATCCCAAAATTACTTCTTAAGTCACATTGATTTATTTATTTGTTACCCAGGATTGAACTCAGGGCACTCGACAACTGAGCCACATCCCCAGCCCTATTCTGTATTTTATTTAGACAGAGGGTCTCACTGAGTTGTTTAGTGCCTTACTTTTGCTGAGGCTGGCTTTGAACTTGTGATCCTCCTGCCTTAGCCTCCCAAGCCACCAGTATTACAGGTATCTGCCAGCACACCCGGTTTATAGCAGCATTTGTTTATTTTTAATGAACACTTAAAGAAATGATAACAGTGTCAAAATGAAATAAATAGAAGCTCTTGCTTTATTAAGTAAGATGCTGATTTGGCTTTTGAAAAAACAAAATTTCTATAATTGAAGAAATTTGGTGTGGGTTTTAATGTTTAAATATTGAAATTACTCATATACTACATATAGACTTTATAGAAAATTTTTCAGAAATAACCTTCTGTTTTGGAATGTGATAATTTTAACGTAGTTTCAGTCAAATTATAATACAGAATTTCCAAAGTTGAAAATTATTTTTCCATTTAATAAATATAATGTGAGCAGCTTACAGATTTATTTTAAAATGCTATCCCTGACATGCCAGAAATGGTGGTATACACCTATCTATAATCTCAGTGATTTGAGAGGATGAGGTGGGAGGATAACAAATTTAAGGCCAACCTGGGCAACTTAGGCCCTGTCTCAAAAAATAAAATAAAATAAAGCTGGGGATGTAGCTCAGTGGAAGAGCACCCCAAGTTAGATCCCTAGTACAAATAAATAAGCCAACAAGTAAGTAAATAAAATGCTGTCCTTTAGATATTGCCAATTATAAACTAAAGTCTGTAGGTGAAGGCATCTAACTAGTGAAACATCCATATTCTCCTCAACAGATCAAATGTATGCTAGTGTACAGCATGTGAAGGGGAGCCCAGAATAGACCTTCTGTTGTGCAGGTTGTGCCCTCAGTATTGTAGACCAGTATACGAGACTGAGCTCAGTTCCTTGCCAGGGAGTAGTGCTAACATTTCTTGCAATGCTTCGCTCCTTTGGTGCCCACTGTGTGTTCTTGCTGTGAATAAGCATAGGCTGTTGTGACTGGCACTGAAGAAGAGATGGCTCAGGAAAGCCGAGCAGATGTCCAAAGCCACTCAAACATGCAGGGGACCATGCTCATGATCTGTAACTAGAGAGATGCGCCACAGTCTGTGGACTGGCCCAGGACACCAAAGGCTACTCAGCAGCCGGCCCCTTTAGTCCTGGTTTCTCACTCTGCATGGATCTCCTCCTGAGGTAGCTGCTGAGTGGCTCAACTCTTGTGGGAACCTGTATCTAGGAAGCTGTGGGCTGTGCAGAATTGGCATCAGGAGAGCAGGCTGGTGAGAGGCCCAGTCCTTGAGCTGCGGCCAAGGCAAGGAGAACTCCTCTACCCTGAGGCCATTCAGACTTGGAGGAGCTGCAAAAAGGGGCAATTGTTAAAGTGGGTAGAACTGCCTTCCAACTGGGCAGCTCTTGAGAATGACACATGACTGGGTTTTATGCCAGCTATGTCTCTGTCTTTTCTTACCAGTGTACATAAGATATACTGGTATTTGTCCCCTCATGCCCCCCCAAAAAAAATATAATAAAATAAACACTCAATTCCTATCTGGGAAATTTGGATTAAATTTGTGTGTAAGACAGATGAAAGGAATTCAGAGGTAATTAACTTATCCCCCCCATTCTCATACAGGAATTTGGATATAAAAGTTGTTTCTTAAATCTCCTTTGTTATCAGGAGATACGATCTTAAACAGTTTTATACGTGAGAATAACTAGAATATTGTTTTTATTCTTAAGAAGAATTTAAATCTAGATTTAACTGTAAAAAGAAATCCCAATATATGATAAAAGTAAATATATAATGTTATTACTAACATTGTGTGTCAAGACTATTCTTTTTAAATTCTTTATACTGTATTGATTGGATGATATCTCCTACTTATCCATAATCATTAATACTTAGAGTGCTTGAAAAGATATCTTTGGGCAAGTGATTATTTTCCAAGATCCTTTCTAGCTGTATGATTTTTTTTTCCTTTTTATTTCATGTTGCAAATATGAACCACCTTCCAGTCCTGTAAACATAGTCCTGTCAGCCTGAGGAGTTCCTAACTACTCCTCTGCTGGGTCATTAGTAGTGACAGGTGCAGTTTTGTTTCGAAGTTGCTGATGATCCTTACTTGCCTCTTGGAATCAGTTAGACATCCCTGGAGACCTCTTGGTTCCATTTCCTGAGTAGTTGGAGTGACAGTACAGGTAGAAATAAGCTGCCCAGAGAGATCTGTGGGCTCTGCTCTTTTCCTGATGGGTATCTGGCCTTGTTGGCTTTGGAGACTCTGGCAGAGACTTGAATGTTTACATTTGTTAATGCTCTGAGCCCAGGTAATGGTAGATTAAAACATGACTGGTGTGACAAAAGGTGTATTGCTAAGGATCACCTGTTCATGAGGAGAGACAGGGGGATGGACAGGGAGGCTGCAGGCACTAGGGTATTGGGGCCAAAAAAAATGTGAAAAGGGAGGTAAAACTAGCCTTAGAGAAAGAGCTTATTAGTAAGGAGAGAACCTCTTAGAGCCTTTGTGGTCTCATTGTTTTCACAAACCAGAAAGATCATGAAATGAGAAGTAAATACAGTGTTCTTGCAGTTTCGGGTGTATTCTGTACTCATCATTTACATGAAAAATAAAAGACAAGGGAAGGTGAGAATTTTAGTAAAACTGCATCACCGGAATTAAAAAGAGTTTTGTGTCCTTATACTGAAAATGTGTTGTGATTATGTGAACCTCTGTAGTTTTAGTTGAGTAGCATTCTTTTTGAATTTCTGCAAAATCAAACTTTTCTTACTTTTAAAACTGGGAATACATTTTAACCTAAGTTTCTAGTTACAGTTTTTTTTATTTATTTATACATAGGAAATGGAGGAAAATTTTACTGAAATAATTTTTGTTCAAAATTTCAGCCTGCTAATTTTAAGAATCTACAAATTATTTTCAAGATTTGCTAAGTAGTGCATTTTAGACAATGCACTTGCTATTGCATATGTTCCACTGCTTTAAAGCTGGCGTGGCTTTTGCAGAGTACTTTAGTAGTTAAGTTCTGAACCCCTTTATCCTGGACTATTGGCAACATTTCTGAATTTATGAATATAAAACTACTTGTTTTTAATGTTCATCATCTAGTCTTTTGAGAAATAGACAACTTTCATAAATAGTCATATGGATCATAAATAATTATTAAACATATATTTTAGACTCTTAAGTAAATTATAACATTCATTTTAGAAGTATTTACAAGTGGATAGGAGTGTTATTCTGCAACTTTATATAGTTAAAAAATAATACAGACATACAAAAGTAAATAAATACAAATGCAAATATATGTATACATATGTGTGTGTATACTGATACACACACGTATGGGACACTAATAGAGCAAGAGAATTATAAAACAAATATAAAATTTTAACAATGAGAATAATTAGCATATTGGAGTTGTTTATTCTCATAGATTCTCTGTAAGGCTGAAATCTTTTCAAAATAGTTAAAACATTCTTACATTGATAATGCAGTCTTTTTTTAAAGGATGTTTGACAATATGACTTGAAATATATGTCCTTTGACCTAATAATTATTATAGGAATTCCAAAGAAATAAGCATTGACATGTGCCAAGACATATGTGTTTACTTACTATAGGATTGTATTTATTATAATAAAGAAGTATTAAAGCAAAATCTTTGAAATCTCCTAAATAAACAAGAGAAGACTGTCTAATTAGGATGTCCCTACATATAATAATATGTAGTCTTTAAATCATGTTTCAGAAAAAAAACAAACACTTGTTGTTTTGGAAAATGTTCACAATATTATAAATGAAAATAATCTATAATGCAATATATTATACCATTTTTGAATGATTTTGCTTATGAATTTTTTTATTCATTACAATGATACCAAGATGGCATATACTTAACTGTTGGCTATAAATTCTCCTGTGTGGTAATGAGGTAGTGATTTTGTTTTTAACTTTAGTTAATTGATGCTTTTTAGTTTTTCTTCATATAACATATACTTTTTTAATGGAAAAAAAGTAACATTGGGTGGGATAAGAACTTCATCCAAAGAAATTGTTTGGGTGGCCATATTTGTAAAGATACACAGTTGGAAAATCTCCACTTGTAATAAAAGACAATAATAACTCTTCTCAAGGTAAATGTTGCCCTTAACAAAAACAGTACTTATTCTGTTACTGTATGAGTACAGTGCACATGGCTTTAAGTCATTTTTCTCAAAATATGGCCCAGCAACCACTGCATAAAAATTACCTGGGTGTGGTGGCTCACACCAGTAATCCCAATGACTTGGGAGGCTAAGGCAGGAGGATTGCAGGTTTGAGGCCAGCCTCAGCAACTTAGCAAGACTGTATCTCAAAATAAAAAAGGCTAGGATGTAGCTCAGTGGTAAAGTGCTCTTGCCTTCAATCCCCAGTACCAACCAGCCAACAAACAAACAAAAACCCATACACACACAGTCATAAATGTAAATATGCATTTGTATTGAATGTCTTTCTGTCATTCTTACTCATACAAAGTTTGAGAAAACAAGCATTAAGTAAATATGGTTTGTCAAGAATGAGAGTTAAGACAAAGTGAATATATTTAATGTATTTTTATATTATAACTTCTATATTATATATATTTAATAATATATAATATCATTTAAAAGTTTCACATATTCTTTGGTAAGAACACATTCATTCTTTTATAGTGTGTTTCCATTTGTAAAAAATTGTATTCATGAAGGACATCCATTTGCTCTTGTCCTGTTCTCTCCATGGGTTTATCCTGTGCCAAGTCCGTTCCTTCCAGAGAGGAAATATGTGCTGTTGAAATGTGTCTACGTGAAGGATGATTGACATAAGTCAAACATGTAGTTTTGAGTGTCTGTATATTTTTAATCAATTGTCATGCTAAAGTGTTTTCATATCTTGGATATATTGCTTAGCAAGTACTTTTGAGAAAAAGTTATTTCCTCATTTTAAGTAAAATTATTCTCCATATCATGACTCTCTTTTTAATTTCAGATTTTGTTGATGGATCTATACACCACAAGGCCTTACTTATATCTGTGACTGTCTGTAGTTTGCTATTGGTCCTTATCATTTTATTTTGTTACTTCAGGTAAGTTTCTAACATGTAGATATGGAATTTGGCATTCATAGTACCTTTCATAAACTAATATTCTACCATTTTTTTCTATTGATCTTCTTCATTGAAGCTTTCCTTGGTCTAATTGGATTTTAGACTTAAAATATTTGAAACTATTGACAAATATTTATCCTAATGAAGTTATAAATAGGTACCCAACTCATTTCTACTTCAGACATCAAAACTATTCTTATAAATATTTCATCTCTAAGGAAATCAGAGGGAAGTTCCAGGACTGATTACTGCTCAGGTTGATTCTAAGTAAAGCAAGGACTACGCTGAACTTTGAGTAGTTCAATTTATTCCATATTTCTTGAGCTAAAAATTTCCCATATAAAAGATTTTAAATATAATTTATAGATTAAATGTTAAAATAAAAAGTTGTTATAATAAAGTATGACAGCTACAAACTATTTGCAGTCACCTAAGAACTTATTTTCTAGTTTATGAAATATGAAAGATCTTTATACCCATGTCATTTGTCTTTTGAGCAATTTAATATTCATTTATGATACTCTGCAAATGTGTCAATGAATTGATTCAAATAAATTCATGTTCTAATTGAAAACATTATAATTAAAAGGAAAATAACTTAGGGAATAAATATTGAAACTATGTGGAAATATTAACAGAATATAGAAGTGCAGTTGAAAGAAGCAGAAAAATTGTAAATGGTTGACACTGTGTAAAAAACATGAAGTTTATTTTTAAAAAATCAGTCAAATTTAAGATTTGTATTTTAGAAACCTTAACTAAGGGCAACATTTGATCTTGTCTTGCATTTTTGTGATAAAATCAAACCTGCTGTGACTAGTGTTTATCTGCAATGCTTTATCTGTGTCAGTACATTTCAGTTTCTAAAATTATCCCAATCGTCTATCCTTAGGTATAAAAGACAAGAAACCAGACCTCGGTACAGCATTGGGCTGGAACAGGATGGAACTTACATTCCTCCTGGAGAATCCCTGAGAGACTTAATTGAGCAGTCTCAAAGCTCAGGAAGTGGATCAGGCCTCCCTCTGCTGGTATGAGAAGAACACATCTTGAAAGGAAATGTCTTGTGAAAGGAAATGTCAATAAATATAGGGTTTCATTTTACTGAAATAGATAGGACAGTGGAGAAGGAGAACGCTTTAGGCAGTCGATTGGACATCAGATTTCAGATGCAGGGCTTCCTGATAACATTTTGACATATTGAGGGTAAGGTGATTGTTTTTTAATGAAAGTGTATGGTTACAACCTAGACCCTCAGACATCTTTCTGATACAGAGCAGATTAGAAATCATTAAACATGGGACCATCTTCCCTCTGTTTTCATTGAGGATAGCATTACAGCACTTTGGCCTGGCTACTGAAGGCAAAAGTATTACAACCAATTGGGATCTGAGCACTTCTACAAAGGAAGAAGGCTGCATTTCAGCCACAGAGTTCATGTTTCAAGTTGAGATCTTAGCTTTTCCATTCAGGAGAGGTTTAATTTTCCAATGGTGAGTACTGCCAGCCTGGACAAGCATATATATATACCAAATTCCAGGCACTTGCTTTAATGAGAAAAATATTTGATTCTTTTATGAACCATGAAGAAAGATAGTTGGGATTCATGATATAAATAATTCTCCTGAGGAATGATCTGGTTCTGACTTTGGATATCTTATTTACCTTACTCATCTGATGGCCTTTGATTTACTACTATGAGTAATAATTTTGAGACCAGGCAGAAAATAACTTATGGAGCTCTTTCAGCCTTCTAAAATCTTTGATCCTGCTAGGTTCTTTCCCTGGATATGACATTATAATACCCAGTGCTGCTCCTGGGTCTTCTTTCTTGGCTTGATACCCATTGCACCTAAGCTCAGCCTGCCTGCCCACCCTCTCCTACCTCCCTTCCCTAACTGCATCCTGAACTCTAACTTCACCTTTGAGTAATTAATTTCTTTCTTTCTTTCTTTCTTTCTTTCTTTCTTTTTTTTTAAGAAAATTCTCTTTAATGGTCCAAGTTCAAAGTGGAAATTCTGGTATGCATTATTATTACCACAAACAGAAACAGCCTATACACAGATATGCACAGATTCATGGCAAGTTTCAGTTACAAAAGAGGTGGAAGAATTTTCTTGACAGTTCTTTATGTAATTCAAAGTAAATAAAATTAAAATTTTGCAAGCCACTACAAATATTATTGCAATTGGTATTTTAATTATCATGCATTTACTATACTAGAAAGGAAAAAACCCACTTTTACCCACTATCCAAAAAAAGAATTAAATAATTTTTTAAATGACTGTTCTACTCAAAAGGGAATATGAATAAAATGGTAAAGTAAAAACAAAACAAAACAAAACAAAACAACAACTCCATTTCAGGATGGGGTGGTAGGTCAGTATTAGAGTGCTTGCCTAGCATGTGTGAGGCACTGGGTTTGATCCTCAGCTCCACATTAAAAAAAAAAAAATGAATAAAATAATGGTATTGTGTTCATCTACCAAAAAAAAAAATTAAAAAGCTATTACATTTGTGCCAGTATCATCTAAATTAAGAGTGCAGTATCTTTCAGACATATCACTAATAAAAACAAACTACAGATATTTGAAAAGTTGTACTATCATGAACAAAATACTTCATAGACATTTTTAACCTTTGAGCAATGAAAATATTTCCTTTGTCCTCTAACATAAAAGGAGGAAATCTGTTAATAAAATAACTAATATTTCTATGTATATAGTGCTTTCGAAACCACCACATCATTTTAATATATATATATATATATCATAGTGATATATATGTGTACATATGCCATTGTTTTAATATATATACATATACATATATATCATAATGATATATGTGTGTATACGTCATTATTAACTGAAATTTACAGATAAGAAAGCTGAGACCAGTGATCAGACATTCAGAATTTGGTGGAGCTGAAACCTGAATTAAGAACTTCCAGCTCTACATTTCATATAATTTCTACTACACCCAAAGAGAAAGAACATTTTTATTTGTTAGTATTTTATTTTATTTTTTTTAATTTTTTTTATTGGTTGTTCAAAACATTATAAAGCTCTTGACATATCATATTTCATACATTAGATTCAAGTTGGTTATGAACTCCCAATTTTACCCCAAATACAGATTGCAGAATCACATCGGTTACACATCCACATTTTTACATAATGCCCTATTAGTAACTGTTGTATTCTGCTACCTTTCCTATCCTCTACCAACCCAGATGCCCTTCAATAGATGAATGGATAAAAAAAATGTGGCATTTATACACCATGGAGTATTACGCAGCACTAAAAAATGACAAAATCATGGAATTTGCAGGGAAATGGATGGCACTAGAGCAGATTATGTTAGTATTTTATATATGAAAAATCTCTGCATTTAAGGAAGATAAACATCATCTTGCCACCCATGTAAATTCTCCATATATAAAGCAATATATTTTTATTTTTCTTTGACCTGTACTTGAAATTTGTTTTTGTCGATAACTATCATTTTTTTTTAACACAATGACCTTTCTGTAATTACTTCTTGAAAACCAGGTATGTCCACATCTTCACAAATATAAGCTCTTTATGGAACATTCCTCCAACTTATGGCCAAGGCCTACTTCACATTTTATCTCTCACAACTTATCAGTTACCCAAGAATGAGCCAATTTATTTTGACTTTTATCATAATATTTTCCTTTTAATACTAATATGGCTGCTTAAAATAAGGTTACAATTAATGTTAATGTATCTGTGTGTTTTGGTGACCTGGGTCCTGTTTGAAGGTGGAGATTATATTTTATTCACTTTGAATCCCCAGTAGAATGTCTGATTCATTAAGGGGCTGCTCAGTCATTTGTTTTAGAAAGCTTTCGGTTCCTACTTTGGCAGTCTATAAGGATACTGTTTCTATAATCAAGATACCAGAATAATGACATTTTCCTTATATCATACAATTATTAGGCATACAAATCCTCAAGCCACATTGCCTGGGTTGTCTAGTCTAGACAATGGCCTTTACATATATTCCAATTTAATCTTCATTCTAATCCTGTGATGTAATAGAGCTAAGTGTCACTTAATGACAGGGACAGATTGTGAGGAATGCATCACTAGATGATATCACTGTATGAACATTACAGAGTGTTCTTATACAAACTAAGCAAGCTCTTCCATCAGTAATCAAATTCATTGTCTTATGGAATCATCATTACATATGCAGTCTGTCATTGACCAAAACCTTGATAAACAGCACATGAATGTACTAGAACTATATCCTTGCATTTCACATCAGGGGATACAACAGAAATAGACCAACTAATTGGTGTGTGAAAAAGTAAGGATTTAAACCTAGAATGATGGGACCCAGTCAGGATTTGAACCTAAAATCTGTGCTTTTAACCTTTGGAAGATAGGAAGCAAATGTTCAATAAGTCAAAGAAATGCATTTGATAGGAGAAATAAGGAAGGAGGGTTCTATAAAATCCTGTCAGTAAAAAAAAAAAAATAAACAAATAAAGTCTCAGCATTACAACTTTAATATCTGGTTTTAGGATTTGGTTTTTCAGATTAAAATATGCTGAAGTATATGGTCTTTTGTCCATATATTATTGTGTAAATGAATATCTCACCTTAGTATAGATTTGTTGTTTATCTCATTAATGGAAGAAAAATTCATGCCTTAACACATATGTGGACCTAATGTTTACCAGATGACTTTATATCCTTTAATTTGGGGTCCTCTCCTTTTTTTTAACATAAAATACCTATTTCTTTCTTCCTTAAAGAGAAGGAATATCAGAGTTTTTGAAAGAATTAAGATAGTGTATGTTTCTGTTCTTTATGTGTGATGCACATGTATTCACACACACACATCACAATTCCTGGCATATTATTTAACATACATATAGTATGTATTTAATAAGTAATAACTTATTGATACTTACATTCTATTTTTTTGATTTTGTAAAGAGCACAAGGTAATTTTTCTAACTGAACATTAAAGCTCTTTAGTGAGGAGTCTTGTGAAAATCTTTCCCATACATATTATTAACACAGCCTTATTAAGTGAAGTATTTTAAGCCACATATTTGTTTGTAGAGGGGTGGTGTGTGTGTGTTTGTGTGTGTGTGTTGCTCATTTAGAGACACAGGAGAGAGTAGGCAACATTATTAACAGATACGTATTTTTGGCCGTCCATATGGTACATGGATTTAAACATTAGACACTATCAGATCATTAAATAAGATGCTAATCCTGGAATAGTTATAGCTCTTTACAAATCCTTATACATTCACTTGTATCCAGTGCACATGAAATAATTCTTTTTTAGAATCACAGTTACTCTGATTTATATGTAAGATGAAATCAACTTGTAAACAGAAAAGGTTTCTCTTGGTTCACATTTTAGAGATTTCAGTCAGTTAGCCCTGTTACTTCAGGCTTGTGGTAGCACATCATGACAGGAGAGCCTGAACTGCCCATCTCATGGTCAGGAAGTAAAAGAGAGAAAAGAAGAGTCCATGCTCCACAATCCCCTCTGAAGGCACACTTCCAATGATCTCAGTTCCTCTCAGTAGGCCTCATCGGTTAAAAGTTTCCACCTCCTCCCAATAGCACCAAATTGACCTTTGAGGGGCACTTAAGATCTAAACTACAGCAAGATATTTTATCTGTACACCCAACTTTCAAATATTGATGTCTACCAATATAATATAGAATGAAAATGTAAGTACAAAAAGACCAGAAATATTTGCTAAATCAAATAAAAACTCAAATTAGTTTTTAAAATTTTCAAGTTATATTTTCATGCCCTTAGATGTTATAATCCCAAAATATAAGTGCATTTTAAATTCCTGAATGTTAATTTATTATCTTGAAGATAAGTTGGTCCTAGTTTATCAGGCTTTGCCAATGCTGTCAGTACTTTCATTAAAGAAGATGTATTATCACTAGAAAAGAAGCAGATGCAGAACTGTTTATGTTAGGGAATAGTCACAGATTTACATACGCAATGTTTTGTAACATCTATAAATCGAGTACAATCTCTCTTTAATAGATGTGGCAAGTTTCCTGTCAAGTGAGTAATTAAACTGCTTATGTATTTGGCTCCCAGCTGCTCAGTGCTCTTGAAGCTCCTGTCAAACGGTTTGGGGATGGAGGTATACCAAAGGTTTCCTTGCATAACACATTTGGCTGCTAAATGGAGGGCGACTGCTTGTGTGTACATACTTGCTTGCTTATTTCCATTTGGCTTCATGGCTTTATAGTATATCAGTAATTCTCTTATTTTAAATTCTTTTAAAGAAACAGACTTTTCCCAAAAAGCTTTCAGTTTGTTATCAGTGCCAATAATGGTTTGGGGAATGAATAACATTACCTTTTGAATTGATAAAATACCTTATGAAAAAAAAAAAAAAAAAACACCAAGAACTGATCCCTGTTGTAGACATCTGTGGTAGGTGGAATAATGCCTCCCCCCATTTCCATACCCTAATCCTTAGGATCTGTTATGATAAAAGACAAAGGGGAATTAAGGCTGCTGATCTGCTGAATGTGAGGTGAGGTTATTTGGATTATTTGGGCTGTTCATTGTTATTGTACAGAGTTAAAACTGCAAAAACAAAATGGAAAATTAGGTTTTTACTCAATATAAAACATATCTGTACATGAGTACATTGTAGTTTTCTGATCAGATTTTACTAGAGTTCTTTGGATTCTTTATGAATGTTTTATAGATTATGTAAATTACCAGAGGTGTTTAGGCCTTCCAGTTATGGAACCATTAATATCGGTTTTCTTAAAATATCCTTTTGTAAGTATCGATTGGAGAAAGATTATGTGTACAGGGACATTTAACTTTGATTTCACTTTTATTTTCTTTTTCTTTGCTCTACTGCATTCTTTAAAATTTTTCGGAGCTGTCTTATAGCTTGTTAAATAACTTTCTCTTCAGCTCGTTAGTTTTCTCTCATTAACGTTTCTCTTTAATCTGCTGCTTTGCCTGTCTGTTTTGCATTTTTAATTGTGACAATTAACTATTCTATTTCAAAAGTGTAATTTTCAATAATCTCTTCTTGTTTGCTTATTTTTCATTTGTTGTTCTGTTTCTTAAACACTTCATTTAGTTAGTTGGAATTCTGCATCTGAAAATTATAATAGGTTAGCTGACTGAGTTAAATTCATTTGCTGTGTTAATATGGACTCACAGTGGCTGTTTCCTTTTGTCTTCTGTTTTAAGGAATTCATTCTGTTGGATCTTCTCTCCCTTTTCCTCTTCTCCTCTTTTTTTTTCCCCTGTTGTTCTCTTCCTCCCCACCCACCTTGGAAGTTTTCTCTATTGTGAGTCCAACAGTGTATTACAGTCAAGTTATGTGATCACAAGAGTTTCTTCAAAATACTATGATCCCACCATGACTGTGGAGTGAAAAGTATTCGGCATTTGATTTCCTCTAGAGAGGATTTATGTTCATTTTTCGCCAAGAGCCATGACATGTGCCCCACCTAGATCAAATTTAGTACTGTTCCATGGTTTTAGCTTAATGCCGAAGTCCTAGAATTGCCCTGGCACATGACTAAATGGGTCAGGGTCACTCCAGGAGAACTGGGCTGGCACAAAATAATGACACACAGACAGAGAATTACCTTTTTCTTTGGGTTCCGGGACGGCCCCTCTGATCCAGCTCCCACTAAGGAGGCAAGGCAGGCAAGAGAGAGAGGGAGCACACCTCAAACCCAGATGTTATTAATGGAGGGAGCGAATCTATGGAACAGTCTATCCAAAAAAAGGGCAGAAGGGTGGGATTACAACAAGCAGATGGGTGTAATTGAACCCCATCAGGTAATGCCCATTCCTAGAGCTACACCTTTATTATCAGAGTAGAGGTAAAGTCCAGTTGCATTGCAGGGGGCAATACCACTCCAGTACTTCTCTACTGAGGACTTAAGTAAAGGTGTGTGCATAGCTCCTGAACAAGGTGGCCCCTGACACTAGAGTTAAGTCCCCTTAGTTTTAACAAATGTTTGAGGTCTTATACTTTGTATACAATCAGAGATATGAAAAATTGTTCTCCCTATGTGTAATAAGAATTGTGATGCATTATGCTGTCATATATAAATAAATAAAATAACCTTAAAAAAAAAATCAGTGTTTAGATTCTGGATCCCAGCACTGGTATTATTCTCTGCCAGACAGCAGTCTGGCTCTTCTGTATGTTTAATGTATATTGTTCCTTGCTTTGGTCTCAGTTCCCTCCCTTCTTTCTATTCCTTTTTCTTTCTTCCCTTTTTTCTTCCTTTTTTTTCCTCATGTGCCCAACAATATAATTTTGTTTCATCTTAATGTATCTGTGATTGTTATACGTTGGCAAGAGTTCCTTCAGAGAAGCCAGGAACCCAGTATAGTGGGGAAGTCAAAATATTCTGTTTTGCCATTAGCTTCGAACCCATTCACTTTTTTTCCCTCTGTAAACATTACAATAAGAGGAATGAAATATTTAATAATTTGGAGGCAATATGTTGAGCATTCAGAATCCATAACCATCTCAAATAGGTTTAAAAGGGAATAGTATAAATTAATAAATAAATACAAATAACTCATCTATATAAAGAAAAATCCTGACTACATATATTTTACATGCACTAATCGTTTCTTCTCTGGAAGAAAAAAAAAACATTAAACAAATCTGTAGTGCCATGAATACACTAACAAGAGTGTTTTGGGATTTCACAGGTCCAAAGGACTATAGCTAAGCAGATTCAGATGGTGAAACAGATTGGAAAAGGTCGCTATGGGGAAGTTTGGATGGGAAAGTGGCGTGGCGAAAAGGTAGCTGTGAAAGTGTTCTTCACCACAGAGGAAGCCAGCTGGTTCAGAGAGACAGAAATCTATCAGACAGTGTTGATGAGGCATGAAAACATTTTGGGTAAGTCTATACAGCGGTGCTCAGGGTTTTCTGCTTCCCTTGGTCTTTCCGGCAACATCTGCCTATGAAAGTCTGTGTACATTTGCTATGAAATGTATAGATGAGTAGAGCTTTTCTTCTTGGCATTGGCCCAAGACCACAGCTTCTAGTGGGAGGCCTTACAGGCGGAATGACCAAGACACTCCTGTGAATGGATGGCAGGCTGAACTTGGAATGCTCTCAAATGTTTTTCCTTCAGAAACTGGAGATACAAACGCAACACCAGAATTTCTTAGGATTTGAAGGAGCATGTATTTTTTTAAATGTCAAAAATTATGGGCATTTTATCTGCAGGGTTTATTTATGTCAAGAATTTATGATAAGAATTGATTGACTTTCTATTAGGCCAGACGTGATCTGCCTGCATCACGGAAGGGTGAATGCAAACTGATCAGTGCGGTGTGTATCTTAACTCAAGACTGGGTTTTGTAAACAATGTTGTTCATGTCACTTTAACATCATAAAGGAATTTAAATGTCATCTACTGATCAGAAAGGAGTCATGTTTTCCAACGTAAACTTTTAATCATTCTTCATCTCTACAATTTCAAGTGTGTCTGATTGTTATTTGTAATTTAATACCACCACAGACATGATCGGAAAACTTAGTGAAATGCTAAAAAAAACGACATCTCTGGATAAAGAATCATATTTGAGACTGTGAATTATTCTAAATTTTATTGAGAAAACACCTCCAATCTTTTTTGTCTCTTTTCCTTTTAGGGTTCATTGCTGCAGATATCAAAGGGACTGGGTCCTGGACCCAGCTATACCTCATCACAGACTATCATGAAAACGGTTCCCTTTATGATTACCTAAAGTCCACCACCCTAGACACTAAATCCATGTTGAAGTTAGCCTACTCTTCTGTCAGTGGCTTATGTCATTTACACACAGAAATCTTCAGTACTCAAGGCAAACCAGCGATTGCACACCGAGATCTGAAAAGTAAGAACATCCTGGTGAAGAAAAATGGAACTTGCTGCATAGCTGACCTGGGCCTGGCTGTTAAATTTATTAGGTTAGTATCAATGTGAACAAATGTGCTTTTTATGATTGTTTTCTATCATTTTAAAATATTATTCACTCTGTAGCTCAGTGTTTGTAGGATATTTAGTAGGTGAGGCATTTCATTAATACCAGCTTTTCTTTGAGGGCAAAAATATCACTCCTCATTTCTGTGCTTATCAGGGACCTGGCTTAGAAACTGTTGATGTTAGATTTGCAACTGTTATGAACCTCTCTTCTGTGGAAAAGAGGTAGCTAATGCCTGGGAATCTGTTGTCAGAATTCTGTGTAACATTTGTAAATAGGAAAAAGTTTAAGGAAAGAGCTATCAGTTATATAATGAGAAAGGCCCTGTTTTGTTTTGATTTTTAATTTTTTAATGGAGAATAGGAAGATAACTTGCATGAGTGTTTAATAAGAAATATTAGAAACTTATATAATACACCCAGTATTCAGCACTATTCTACTGTAGTTTAAATGATGAATATAACACTTGGGCACATAAACCGGGGTATATTAAAAGTGGTTTTCAGACCCCCTTTGGGCTGGTTGGTCTACACAATGTAGAGCAGATGGGCCCAGTTGGGACTTTATTTTAAGTGGAAAGGCTCCTTTTTTTTTTTTCCAGGATGATTTAATTAGAGGAATGGTTCCTCTGTTCTGAAAACAAAACAGCCAAGATGAGTTTGGGTACCACTGGCGTAGAAGAACCATCATATACCTACCTGCCTTTTTGAAAGCTCAGTTTAGATTCGAGGGAAAGCCATGGAATGATGAAAATTTTGGAAAATAAAATTCACAAGAAAGGACGGATGAGTTGGTATTTCCACCTGGAAGTAAAGGCTGCAGTGTGATTTAATAATGAACCCCAAACATAGAAGGTCTTTACCATTTAAACATGACAAATTAAAGTTCCTGATCTTTAAAAACAAAGGAAATGCTTCGGGCTATAGATTTAAGTTAGAAATATGAATCTCCTGCCAATAAAGATTATTACATCCCCTCTTCCTTCTGAGTTCTTTTTAATGACCTGTAGCCCTTTTCAAGTGACACACACACATGCACACACCATGGCATTCTTCACATTACTAACCTTTCCCTCCTTCCTCTGTTAAATTTCTCCATAGAGGTACAAAGGGTAATCTGCTTTCCCAGCCTAGTAATTTTTAATGTCATATAATGTGGCTTCTGTTTCATCCCCTCCTGACACTTCTTTAGTGAGACAACCATTTGTCTTTGTCACCAGGTGGCCGCATCCCCTTCCCATCCCACTGTCCATAGCACCCAAGCCTTTCCCCTCCTCCTCTTTTCATGACACTTTTTACTGTATGTTCCCTCTTCTCTCTCCCACTGGGTCTCTTACCTGCTTTTTAAATACTTTCCACCTCTGTGATTTCTTGTTCTTTCTTCTAGTTCTTAGTTTTGCCGAACCATCCTAAACCTAGGATATCTAACATCTTCTTTTGTTCCCAAACTTTTTGTTTTTCTAACAAATAAATTCTGTCTTCATGAAATTCCCACTTGTCCCTGGCCAGCTTGGGCCCTCAACACCAATTTTCTAGACTCAGGAGTAAAGCATTTTGCAGTTATTTCCTCTTTGTCTTTCCACTATTCAATCTTTTATGCATGCTTGGAGTATAATTTTGGACATTATTTTCTTGGAGTATAATTTTGGACATTATCATAATTTCACAGTTTCCTGTGGCTTTGGGTTAATACGTAAAGTCCCTTGGTTACAGTGGCCTCTCTTTCTTTACTGATCCTGGACTATTGGTGAGTCCTATTCATAGCACACTATTTACTTTTGCTGTCTTTGTTCTGAACCCTTTATATGTTCATATCCCAAGTTTATTTTTTTTAAATGCTTTTATTATCTGAATACTCATATCCCCTCCTCCATCAGAACTACTGCTGGTCTTCAGTTTCTTCCTTAGAGATATCTTCTGTTGCTATTCTCATACAAGTCTTATTTTTAGTTCATCTTCTTGTATACCTCCAGGGTGACCCTGCACCTGTTATGATACTTCTCACTCTGTTTTATAGTGATCGTTGACTATTTATCTGTCCCTCCCAATAGAGAGTAATCCCTTTGAAGAAAGATAACATATATTTTTTCAAATTTCTATCCAAGTACCTTCCATTATAAGGTGTTGCTTATAATTTTTATTTAATAGATAAATGAGTGATTCCATATGGACCACAGAATGAAGAAGAAACACCTTTCTCTAGCTCCAGAGATCCTATACATTATGCATTAAATCCACCTTCCTGGTTTTATATTCTACAGACTCCAATTTATATACTTTTACAGAACTGAGTTGCTTGCAGTTTCTCCTTATAATTCCCCATGCTTACTACTGCCTGGTATTTGGTTACACATTCCCTGGCTTGAAATGACTCTGCTTCTCCATGTACTTTAATCTCAGAGGTGCCTCTAAGCTACTTTATTCACCCCCACTTAGAAATAATGATGTTATCTTCTGTCCTCCTGTAGTAATTTCCTGGCCCTTGTCTGCCTGGTATTATAATTATTTTGTTACATGCCTCATCTCTCCCACTAGTCATTGGGCATCTTGAGAGCAGGATCTATGCCAAAATTTATTAATGTTTTTCCAATTTAATATGGTATAACACGTTACCCATTATTATAAGTATTGTTATTTTGTTTTAAATCAATAAATGTAGGCAATAGCAAGTTAACTGATACCTAATCTTCAAACAAACAGAGTATCTATTATGTTTCTGAAACTTAGTTTTGCTTAACATAAGGGGAATGAACTGAATGGTCTCTCAAATTTTATGTAGACCTTGATTGTAGGAAGTGGAGGGGAACTACTTTAAGGGACAATTCAGAGATTTATTTGGCATTTAGTGGCTAGTTCATCAAGGGAGGAGAGAGATGTGGCCCTGACTCAGATGTTACACAGATTCATATAGCTAAAGATTAGCGGGGCTCATTCACATTTCTAAACCTCAGTTTCTTCTTCCATTAATTGGAGCTTACATTTGATCATTTCAAAGGTCCTGTTCATATTATTTCCTACATCTCAAAGTTTGCACCTCCAGTTTGTGGCCTAAATTTTAAGCCTTTCTTTATATGTCCCTTTGGTTTCTATTGTTTTTTTTTTTTTTACTTTTGTATTTTGTGTATGTGTACATGTACAGATATTTAGAACATTTTATTGCAAATAGAGTCATAGCAAATCCAGTGCTGAATTTTCAGACTTCATATGCGAACTTCCTATGAAAACAGTCTATATTCCAATGTCTCCGTTATGGCAAGTGGTCTCTTAGTTTCTTCAGTCATTTCTGGAGGTTCCCAGGAAAGTGGAGAGTCCAAAGAGAGCCAATGGTGCCTTACGACATTTCCTGCTCCTAGAACTGTTTTGCCCTGTGTTCAGTTCTTCCTGCACTCTTTTGACAATGACCTAAGTGCTGATGCATATCCTGCTCAGCTCAGATTTAATTCAGGGGATGCCCTGGCAGATATCACCATTACCCTGGATCTCTCCTGGGGAGAGAAAACAATGAGACGTGAAGGAATTTACACAGTTTTTAATGTTTTACTCTGGAGAATCAAGCATCCCCTCTGGTGCTTCCATGTCAGAATAAAATATTTTCTTAGCAGGAAAATAAATCCTGACTCAGGCCCTCTCAGGTATTAAATTTTAAATAGAAAATCTATAGTGAAGACTAGGCTGTCACACAGATATCTCTCAGCAGATGATTGTCAAGTTGTCCAAGTGTAAAGAGATGGGTGGCCCAGCCCAGCAGGGACTGAATTTCCTGAGTCCTTCTGATGTCATTATTTTCTGCACTGCCTTGGTTTCTGTACTTACTAGGTTGTTTTTTAAAAAAGTGACATGGCTAAATGACTCGCAGATGTCACAGAACTAAACTCATTAGTGGCAGCCTCAGCACTCCTCCCCAGGTTTCTGCAGCCAGAGAATTTTTAGTTCCAAAGTTCTATTTCTAAGAAACCCGGAGATTTCTCAGAATTTAATCACAGCAGCATTGAACCCAATGAAAAATGCTACGGAAAAGTCTCATTGGTGAGCATCAGAATGGGCAGAGTTTAAGTGAGCAAATCAGTTCCACGGCCATTGACAGGGTGCTTCGGGAAACACGAAGGAAAGAGCACAGCCCTGCTGTAAGCTTCTAAGACTCTTTCACACTTTGGGGGAGGGTATTTCTAGTAAGTCACACACAAGGTCTTCTCACCCAGCCTTGTTTCACATGTTCTTCTAAAGTTTTAGATTATTAAAGGTATACATTATTTACTTCTCCTGTCTTTCTCTATGACCTTCTTATCCCCCCAGTTCCCCTTTCCCCTCCCTGTTTCAGGTAAGGTATCATGAGGAGGAGCCTGCTCCTCCCAGCTAAGCACTCTGCTCCTGTGATGGCCTCTGTTGTCATGTGGGCTCTGCTTAAGACCTTCATGAAGCTCTTTCCTCAGGGAATGGTGCTATAGGGATGTGCTGTGTGCTGAACTGAGCAGAGGCGTCTCCCTTTATATAACACTTCTAATCTGGAAGTTTAATGAGAATCATTCAGTATAAAATACAACTCATACTGATGCTTTGTACTTTTAAATTTCCCTTTATTCCCTATCTCCAAACTCAAATCTTTGGCTTCCCTTTACCCAGGGCCTGGTGACTAAGCACCTAAGGCATGTCCTGTGGGTGCTCATGGTTTGTTCTCCCACCTGCTTAGGGTCCTGAGTGGCTGCTGCACTTCCAGGCTTTCTGCAGTCCCAGATGTCCCTCTGGCCATAACACCGACACCTGTGGTGACCATGCACCATAGCCCCCCTGTGCTGTGCTGGAGGTATGCTGGGCCAGTCACCAGGTGTAGGCATGAGAGAGTGCACTGCTGGGGTCATTCCCTTCCCTATGTCAGTCCCTTCTGTCCCTCCCAGAAGGAACCAATTCCTGTTTATCTTTCGGCTGTACAGATTTCTAATCTGACTACAAATGTGTGTGGCTACTAGAGTGCATAGAACTATTACTTTGTGGGTGTGTGGTTATTTTCTCTGCCTTTGTACCTCTTCTGTGATCAATGTCCTGCCATCCTGCTTTCTGACTGCTCCACACTCCTCCGTGGGAAAGGAGCTGGAGTGGGCTGAAGGCACCCTGGCCTTTTCTTTCCCCTGGGCCTTTTCTTCTGTCACACTATACTCTGTTAAATGTCTTACCCAAGCTGACTCTACTTTCTTTTTGTGTTCTTTTAATTCTTGATGCCCCCGTATTAAATCATTTTAATTTCTAATTTTGGCCTTGAAAATTAATACAGGGTCACATTTTCTCTGCAATTATTTGAGAATAGGTAAAGTGATGTTACTGAAAAACCTAAGAAATGCAGTTTAATTACTTTCAAGCATAGATACATGCCTGAGGGAAGAAGGGCAGAGCTTTATGTCTTAGAGAGTCTGCTACTTCGTAATATCAGACATGAATTATTTAAAATTAACACGTTTGTTTAAATGTAGTGCTAAAGGCGTTTACCATGAGGTCAGTAGTAATTCTTTACAAAATTAATTTGCTCAGTGAAATTCTATTTATTTTCCTGGATATTGATAACCTCTCATTTCATGGTCTTTGTATAGCCTTTCTTTTTAAATTATCCATAGCAAAGATGGCCATAAACAGGCCTTTTCCTTCTTTCATTTCAAGTATACTGTTTTCCTACATGTGCAAGAGACACCATGAGTGGAGGTGGACTGGGGCTACCTCCCCTCTTTAGGGAACTATCAAATGATGATGACAGATATTGGGGGCTTGAAGGAATTCATAATCTTACATTGGAAATGATTATTTATTCAAATACTACCAGGGAAGATATTTATTTAGGGAGGATATTATTCAAATTCTATTTGGAAAAACACCAGGTATGGGGGAGGAAGAAGAGGAGGAATGGCCATGCTGAGATTTTGTGACTGGTGGAAGGAACTAGCTTTTATTGCATTTGACCAGAATTCTTAATTATATGTTTTTGCAGTGTTTGAAGGAAAAAAAAAAAAAGAGAGAGATAACTACATATAGTCTCACCATCACCCATCCTGATTCTTTCCCTAGGTAGAAGTTACTTTTCTGTTCTCCAGCAGATGTCTCCATATCACACTTTCCATTGCCACTTCCTGACTTCTCAAGTCCAAATAAACATGAAGGAGCTAAGAGTTGGAAGGGAGTGTAATTGCCAAGATCTTTATCCACTGTGGTCAGAATATAACTTTGACCTTTGCAAATGCCTGCTTTAAGACTATTCTTAGATGGCTTTCTCAGGACATGTTCTGGTTTATATTAAAGCCTTTAACCATTTTCTTTTCATTTGCAAACCCCTGTTTATTTTTTCTGCTTGAACCCGGGTTTCCTTACCTAGGGCCACCATTCTAGTGATTAAAAGTGATAAATTATAATACATTCAGAAACATATTAATGAAATACCTGCTGTATGCTCACATGAGAGGTGTGGGCAGGTAGAGCCGGAGAGAAGTTCTTCTCCTGGTAACTGGGGGTGGAGCTGGTGCAGTGTCTTTTCAGCTGACATTTTCCCAGTTTGTCATTAAGTCTCCTCTTGGCACACTTTCCTCCCTTATTTACTATTTCGATACACAGACAAATTTTTCTTTAGTATTATGTTGTAACTACTGAATGTTAATGTTTTTATTGGTTCTTTTTAGTTATCCAGGACAGTAGAATCCGTTTGGACATGATTATAAGAGCATGGAATATATCTTGTTCTAATTCAGCCCCCAGCACCTCTCCTTCCCCTCCTCCTGCTCCCTTTTTTCTACTGTACTCATCTGAAAATTAATGTTTTAGCATCTCTTCCTAGTCTTAGGAAAGAACCCAGTACATTAAGACCTGTTTGTCTTAAATGTAAGACAATGTAAGATGATAAGGGATACCTGCTGTTTAACAAATTTATATCTTAATTTTCATTTTATGAAGATAGGTTCTTTGTTACTCCTAGAAAACCATAAGAAATCTGGTGAGTATATTGGTGACGTGTCTTTGGGAATAGTTTTTATCTCTTGGAATAGATTTTATCTAGAAGTGAATTTCAGAAGGTTTATTAAAAACCTTTACAGTTATGTTTTAGTGAATGCAAACCATTTGAGAGCTACAGAGCGACATATGCTGTACTTTACATTTTCCCAAATGATGCCACATGCTTTATGTTTTAGTAGATAATGAAGCAATAAGATCAAACCCAGGTGTTGTTGTTTTCCCCAAACCTGCTAGTGTTTCCGTAAGTTTGGTATTGATCATCTGTGACATCAAAAATCCTCATGACACCTGGCTTAAAAAAATAATAATTCTCTCAGACTGGAGGTGTGGCTCAGTGGGAGAGGGCTTACCCTAGCACGCAGAGCCCTGAGATCAAACCCTAGTACTACACTACACACACACACACACACACACATACACACACACACAACTGTCTTAAACAAACCAAGTTGTTATGTGCACATACCAATTATAATAGCAAAACTATTAAAATATAAAGTATTTAAAAACTTTAATTATTAGATATTTAGCAGTGGGTTAGAGTCTAAATTTGATCTAGTGGTAATGCAGTTTTTTCTGTTATAGTTTCATGCTGATTTAGTCTCATCTGCATTTGGTTTTTACCTGTGAGCATTTGCTGTAACTTCTGGCAAGAATTATTTTTCAAAGAAATATTTTTTATTCCCCAAAAGGTTTTCTTTTCCCACCATCTACTACAGCCCTATTTAAAGCCATCACTTCAAACTGTCATTTGAGGGTCCTCTTTGCTATTGATAACACTCTGCTTTATTCTTTCCTTAGTGATACAAATGAAGTTGACATACCACCCAACACTCGTGTTGGCACCAAGCGCTACATGCCTCCAGAGGTGTTGGATGAGAGCTTGAATAGAAACCACTTTCAGTCTTACATCATGGCTGATATGTACAGTTTTGGACTCATCCTTTGGGAGGTTGCTCGGAGATGTGTTTCAGGAGGTAAGAAACCGTGATGTCTCTGAAAAGCTACTATGGGAGTTACTGCAAATCCTTTCTTGCTGATCAGAAATCAAAGTCATATTGTCTACAGAATAAGGTTTTCTTTTATTTCCCTTTTTAAAAAGAAGTTTATGTGTCACAATCTTACCAGGGAATGATATTTGACAGAGTAATCTTTGCCTCCTTCCCTCCATCTGCTGTTGAAGAATCTCTTCCAAACACTCTGTTAACTTCTCCTATCTTCTCAAAGAATGTCTTCTGCTGCTCTGTGTATTGTCTCATTTCTCTTTTGGGCTTTTCCTCCAGAAGTTCTCCTTCATGTCAATCCTCTTTTCTACCAGCCTTTTCTCACCTACCTGTCAGCTCCTTCCCCAACCCCACTCTCCCATCCCCTGTGCTTCCTCTGCAGAGATTACTGTGGAGACATAACCTCTGGATGGGATACCCATTCATTAACTTCTCTATTTCTTTATTTTCTATAAAACTTCTTGTAAACTAATTTTTAAACATTGATTTTTAGCAAAAGGAAATTAAAGCATCAGAATATTGTTATTGTTTATGATAATTTTTCTACAAGCATAGGGATTCCCTAAAAGACCAACTATAGTTGATATCAAAAAGATATCCTTAAATATTCAGAAGTATTATTGGTTGTGCTGTTTTCGTTTACTGCTACCTTATCATCTTCTAGTAGATTCTGATTCTTTTTAGGTAACAGAGTATTATCCTCTTCTGGGTCAAGTACAAAATATACACTGTAAATTATTCTGCACATGGTTGTGCTCCTGAAAAAAGGTTGATGCTAGTAGGAAGATGGCGGCGAGGGGAGTGCATTACCCCCGTGTGCTGCTTCACTGTGTGGGAGTATGACAAGTCAGGACGGCTAAAGGATATCTTGTTAGGAATTTCCAGCAATAGTGGGGTGCGCCGGAACCTGGAGGAAGGATTTCCATCGCATGAGGATCGGCTACGGGGACTCAAACGCGAGAGGTTTGTCGCACGGAGGGTAACACTGCTTATTCAGCAAATCGCCCCGCGGCTAGAGTCTGCAAGGCGCGCTGGGATAGAGACGCAGGGTTACAGCGCTGCAGTTTCTGCCAGACGCGCAAGCACCGCACTCAGGGCTGAATTCTGGGTTCGAGACGGGGAAGGAAGCGGTCCATCTCGGTTCTCCACACCGGTCAGACCACAGAGGAGGCCAGCAGCCACCATGTTGGTAAACTGACGTCACCACACCTGTTTTTGACTGACCGCAGCTCATTCAGCCATAGAACAGGTAATTTCAGGCTGCAATTCGCCTGCGGCTTGCAGACAGATTGCTAGGGTTCAGCGCCTGGGGGCTTCTTAAAATCTGATCTTATCGGAGTGAACACGGAGCGCGGGGCGGCCGAGTCCCGGCTCCCGGAACCGTCCCAGAACCGCCCTGGCTCCGGGCTGCGGAGCCCGCGGAGGCTGCTTCTTGGACCCTGCTACTATCAGAGCATACACCAAACACTAAGCGGCCGAATTCCGGCTCCCGGAACTGAGCCCGCGGGGGCTGCTTCTTGGAGCCTACACTTATAGGAGCTTACACCGAGCACGGAGCGGCCGAGTTCCGGCTCCCGGAACTTCCCTGGACCGGGGCTAGGAGCCCGCGGAAACTGTGTCTCGGTCCGGGTCCTGCTGAGGGCAGGTCAGGACTCACCCATTGCTTGGGTTGCCTGGCAAGGGGAACGAAATGCTGCCATTCGCATAGGATACCAACATGGCAGAGATCTGATGTCAGCAGAAAGCAGTGGAGGAGAGATCTTCATCAATACCAGCGGTGACATAAGCAGTTGGTCTCCTGGTAAGGGGGGTGAGGCTCAGTCACCCGAGTCTCCTCAATTTGTCCTCGAGCCAGAGGGAAGGAGCCGGGCCGCCGCCAGCCCCCGGAGCAGGCCCAGCGGCTCGCCAGCGTGGTGACCGCGTGACCCCAATTGGAGAGGGGGCGGAGCGGAGCCGCCACCCACACCCGCCAGGTGGGCAGACCCACGACCCAGTAGTACATGGGCGTGGTAGGAGGGGCAGGGCAGAGCCGCCCTTCGCGCTTGCAAGGTAAACAGACCTGTGACAGCCTGGCGGGTCAGGCCCAGTGGCCTGCCAGTGTGGTACACACGTCACCCCAACTCGAGTAGGGGCAGAGCAGATCCTTATCCCACGCCCAGATCAGGCCCTGCCGGTGTGGTGGTCACGTGACCCCAATTGGAGTGGGGGTGGAGCGGAACCGCCACCCGTGCCCGCAGGGTGAGCAGACCAGTGATCAACCTGCAGATCAGGCCCAGGGGTCCGCAGGCGTGGTAGGAGGGGCAGGGCAGATCCGCCGCCCGCGCCTTCAAGGTAGGCAGACCTACAACAGACCGGCGGATCAGGCCCAGGAGCCTGCCGGCGGGGTACAAACACCACCCTAATTGGAGTAGTGACAGAGCAGAGTCGCCTCCCTTGCCAGGAACAGACCCAGCATCCTGCAGGCGGGGTAGTCACGACACCCCAGTTGGAGTAGGGGCAAAGCAGAGCCTCCACTCGTGCCCGAAAGGTGGGCAGATCTGCGACCGACCAGCAGGACAGGCCCAGTGGCCTGCTGGTACGACAGACACGTCACCCCAATTGGAGTAGGGGCAGAACAGAGCCGCCACCAGCTCCCAGAACAGGCCCAGTGACCTGCCGGCGTGGTAGCCACGACACCCCAATTGGAATAAGGAGAGAGCAGAGCCGCCGCCCGCACCTGCAGGAAAGATACGCAAGCAGTATGAAAAGACAAGGAAAGAAAGGACCACAAGCAATGCAGGTCAACGCAACTTTAGAAGAGGTAACAGCTGCAGCAGATGGAATGTCAGATAAAGAATTCAGGATATACATGCTTCAGATGATCTGGAGTATCAAGGAAGACATTAAACAGCAAAATCAGACAATGAAAGATCACTTCGACAACGAATTACGCAAACAAATCCAGAAAGCAAAGGATCAACTATACAGGGAGATAGAGGTTATAAAAAACAAGCAATCAGAAATCCTAGAAATGCAGGAAGCAATAAACCAACTTAAAAACTCAATGGAGAATACTACCAACAGAGTAGAACACTTAGAAGATAGAACATCAGACAATGAAGACAAAGTATTTCAACTTGAAAAGAACATAGACAGCTCAGCAAGACTGTTAAGAAACCATGAGCAGAACATCCAAGAAATATGGGATAACATTAAGAGACCAAACTTAAGAGTCATTGGGATACAGGAAGGTACAGAGCTCCAAACCAAAGGAATGAGCAGTCTATTCAATGAAATAATACAAGAAAACTTCCCAGACTTGAAGAATGAGACAGAATCCCAAATCCTAGAAGCCTACAGGACGCCGAATGTGCAAAATCATAAGAGATCCACACCTAGACACATTATAATGAAGATGCCCAACATACAGAATAAGGAGAGAATTTTAAAAGCTACAAGAGAAAGGAAGCAGATTACATTTAGGGGCAAGCCAATCAGGATAACAGCTGATCTTTCAACACAGACTCTGAAAGCTAGAAGATCCTGGAATAACATATTTCAAACACTGAAAGATAATGGGTTCCAACCAAGAATTGTGTATCCAGCGAAATTAAGCTTCAGGATGGAGAATGAAATTAAAACCTTCCACGATAAACAAAAGTTTAAAGAATTCGCAGCTAGAAAACCATCTCTTCAAAACATCCTAGCCAAAGTATTACAGGAAGAGGAAATGGAAAATAACAATGAAAACCAACAGTGGGAGGGAGAACAGTAAAGGGGGGGGGGAAACAATCAAAGAGGAAAACAAACAATGTTTAGTAACAGAAATAAACAAATATGGCTGGAAGAACAACCCATATCTCAATAATAACCCTAAATGTTAATGGCTTAAACTCACCAATTAAGAGACACAGGCTAGTAGAATGGATCACAAAACAAGACCCAACAATATGCTGCCTACAGGAGACGCATTTGATAGGAAAAGACATACATAGGCTGAAGGTGAAAGGTTGGGAAAAATCATATCACTCATATGGACTTCGGAAACAAGCAGGCGTGTCCATACTCATATCAAATAAAATAGATTTCAAGCCAAAGTTAATCAAAAGAGATAAAGAGGGACACTACATACTGCTTAAGGGAACCATACACCAACAAGACATAACAATCATAAATATTTATGCCCCAAACAATGGTGCAGCTATGTTCGTCAAACAAACTCTTCTCAAGTTCAAGAGTCTAATAGACCACCACACCATAATCATGGGAGACTTCAACACACCTCTCTCGCCACTGGACAGATCTTCCAAACAAAAGTTGAATAAGGAAACTATAGAACTCAATAACACTATTAATAACCTAGACCTAATTGACATATATAGAGTATACCACCCAACATCAAGCAGTTACACTTTTTTCTCAGCAGCACATGGATCCTTCTCAAAAATAGATCATATATTATGTCACAGGGCAACTCTTAGACAATATAAAGGAGTAGAGATATTACCATGCATCTTATCTGATCATAATGGAATGAAACTGAAAATCAACGATAAAAGAAGGAAGGAAAAAGCATACATCAATTGGAGAATGAACAATAGGTTACTGAATGATCAATGGGTTATAGAAGACATCAAGGAGGAAATTAAAAAATTCTTAGAGATAAATGAAAACACAGACACAACATATCGGAATCTATGGGACACATTGAAAGCAGTTCTAAGAGGAAAATTCATTGCTTGGAGTTCATTCCTTAAAAAAAGAAAAAACCAACAAATAAATGATCTCATACTTCATCTCAAAATCCTTGAAAAAGAAGAGCAAAACAACAGCAAAAGAAGTAGAAGGCAAGAAATAATTAAAATCAGAGCTGAAATTAATGAAATCGAAACAAAAGAAACAATTGAAAAAATTGACAAAACTAAAAGTTGGTTCTTTGAAAAAATAAACAAAATCGACAGACCCTTAGCGATGCTAGTGAAGAGAAGAAGAGA